CCCAACAGTACTTAACTGAGGAGCGAGAGAAAGAGGTATATGCACTGCCACTTTCTGGCTGATGCACCTGCTTCATGACTCTGACTTTTGCATACTGGACCAATTTTATCTTAGAATTTGCATTTTATAGATAAAGTCTGATGAGACAATGGAACATTTGTATGAACATAAGAAACATACACGACATGCATGCCCACAAACACACATAACATTCTTGATGTCCTACAAACATAGAAATCTGGAGGCACTCCAGTGGGTGAGACTTGAGCAAAGCCAAGTCATTATGAGTTAGGCATATTCCATCAGCAACTGGGAAAGAGGGACCCTGCCAACCCTCCAAGGCCTTGCTTTCCATTCTACCCTGAATTAGCTTTGAACCCAGAAGGAGGACAATTGAGGAAGTTCTTCATTCCCTTTTGCACAACCATTGCTTCACTGTATTTGTTAACCACTTACTCTGAAAATGATGACCTATAAGGAAGGGGAAAGATAAGACAGCTCCCAGTTCCTTTTCCTTTCAGTTCTCTCTCACACATCAGTGGGCCAAAGGCAGAGTTTTGGCACACAGAACTGGCACACATTAAGAAGTGAAACAAAAACAGTTTTGTTCCATGTTCCACTGTTCTGGTAAGGACAAAACACATAGGCATACATAAGCTACAAAATACAAACTGTAATTTCATTGATTTTGTACATAAGTGAAAGGGTTTATATGTTTGCAGTTAAAACTAGATTTCACAATATAAAAAGGAATGGTAAATTTTGTGCTAGTAATTTAAAACATGTATTTTTCTTTACTCAGAATGAGACTAAATAGCACATAAAAGATGTCATGGCAATTCCAAAGACAGAAGAAGGTAGTTCCCTTTTTTTCCTGATATTTTTCATATCAGGCCTCACAGTTTCATGTTGTATTAGGACCAACAAATCATATAGCTGTCTTTACATTCCCTCTCTCTGGCTTCTTCCAAATGTTCCATGCAGAAAGTCTCACTGGACTCTTCTGTTGTTCCTGAGCTCTTTTGGCCCTCTACATCCTCCGGCCCTGCCTCTGTAGATTCAACCCACCATAGATTGAAGATACAAGAGGAAAAATTCCATTTCTATTAAAGACTGACAGCTTCCTGTTTTGTTATTATTCCTTTAGCAATTAGAGCATAGCATTTACAGTGCAAGTAAGCTAAAGATGAGATTAAAATATATGAGAGGACATGTGTAGACTATAAGAAATTATACGTGAGGTTTAACCACAGGTTCACTGTAGAAAGATCCTGGAACCAATGCTTTAAGATCACAAAGAATGACTACGTAATTTATATCTTTGGTTTTAGAGTACCAACCTTCAAAATAGTTAATTTGGAGTCTGTTATCTTCCTCAAGAATCTCTCTCTTTTGAAAATTGATGCAGAGTTTGTGTGCTCATACAGTTGTTATAGTCACTAGGCCTTTCATAGGAAAAATGAGGAACTAACAGTGAATGCACAGATTAGGAATCTCCAGGCTATCTCATATGGCTGTACAACTATCTTGAGAAGTGTTGAATAAATGAAAAAATACCAATGGTTTCAGTCCCTGCACTCCTTTCAGTCCTTAATAAGGACATGTTAAAGTGCCATCTTATGTTCACATCTTAGAGCTGTCTCTTCCACATCTCTAACTCCCTAAACACAGACCTCATGTCATCTATTAATTAGCTTTGTCACCTCATAAATTTTTAGCTTTATTTGTCTGGTTAGACTGGTAACACTGAGGGCATAATAGAGCAAGAGGAAGGCTTACAGGTAAGGGATGCACCTTACACACAGAAGGTTTTACTAAAACCCATCAAGTGGCCAAAAAGCTCAGTAAACAAGGGTGATATTTAAACGTAATATTTAAAAACAAAAACATAATTAAATAAACCCTCTCAAAATGTTAAACAGAGACAGGTTCAGACTGGTTTCACTTTAGACTAAGCTCAGTCCTGTTCATCTCTGTGTTCCATTCATTTTCTTTCCCTGAGAGCTGGAGAGATGACTATGAATGGATTGCTTCTTTGAATGGAGTCATCAGTCAGGTTGAAATGTTTAGATTTTGGTTATGAAGATGGCTAAAGTAGATGACTGTGGGTCCTGAAAACAGCCCTAATGACTCCTCTCAACGTAGTCAGACTGTACTATGGGTAGGTTTGAATAATATGTCCTACCTTCTGTCAGTCCTCCATCTACCCCCCCCCACCCCTGGTGTAAAACCAGACAAATAGCTGTCGTGTTCTATTGCTAATCGTTTACCACCATACATCCCAGAACACTGCCCTCAGAGGACCTGTTCAAATGAATCTAACCAGTTCATGTTTCAATGGCCTTGTTATATAACAATGTTACAACCACAGTCTCACCAATGGTTTGAATAAGGCTACTGTGATTTATTGAGCACTTTAATTGACTCTTTATGTCAGAAGTTTCCAGGCAAAATGAGATCAGAAAGACAAAGCCATTTGAACAAAGAAAAACAACCATTTGTTTTTGTACTTGATTTTTTTTATGTTTCCTTTTAAAGAAAGATTTTTAGGGGAAAAATAGCTCTAAGTTATATATCAAGAAGAGGAAAAAAATCAGAGAATTTCATCATGTTTTCAGGCTTATCATACACCTTGGGAACACAGATTTGCATCATCATATACCCCTTACCACAAGATTGTTCATAAGGCTTCTTGGCTCTTAGAAAGATCTGGAAACCCTGCTGGCCTACCTGAGGCAGGCTTTTTCTAGTGACCAGCTTTTTCAGCCACAGTTAGCCACCAGGGGGCTGCTTGTGTAGAAGGAATAGTGGTGGAGACTATAGCTCTCCTCTAAACCACCCCAAACGTCCCAGGGCAGCTCTGGACCAAAGCCCAGGAACTTCCCCACAAAGAATAACTCCTGCTATAGCAGCCCACAAGTTGCATGGTGCAACCTCCTTGAAGGCAAAGAATAAAGCATAGATTTGCAAATAGTCCATGGGAAATGAAGCCTACAGAGTCTGTTGGGGAGAGAAGGCCCCTTTTCTCTTGCCGCCAAGCCCTGGGGGCTGCATCTTTCTTTCTTAAAACATGGTGCAATCCTGCTTTTCTAGATGCAGTAACCAGCTTCAGAATTCCTTACAGTTATGGTTAATGTCGTCAGCAAGACAGTATTTGCTCCCCTTTCCCTCTATCACTTGGAAGAAGCTAGACTATGACATATGTCACCAGCTGGACAGCCAGAAAACTCCATAATAATAATAATAATAATCTTATGTACATTACTCCCACAGTGAGTGAAAGATGAATATCATCCTAGCTCAGTTACACTGAGTTACATCAAATAAATGCGTATATTGAGTGGTGAATTAGAAAGTATTTTTGATCATTGTTAATAAGAAAGTAATTGTATTCTGTTGTCAAAATGGTTCTGTTGCACTGTAACTTCCTATTGGCTGCATACTAGCTGGCTGGGTGCGCACAGTTTTCTCAAGGAATTGCTCAGAACGTTAGTCACCTGATTTATTTCCCCCTAATCTGAGCCACGCCTTTGGGATTTCAGGGGAGGGGGCATCATAAACGGTATATTTACCAGACCAGCACACTTCAAGCTTATACTATATTTATGTCTTCCAGATTTTTTAGTTGCCTATTTCCAAGGTAAAGATAACATCGCGGGGGGGGGGCGTCTCTTTAACAAGTGACCTGACCAGTCTCAACCCTACACTTAACTCTCCCAGGATACAAATAATGGCATGCCCTCCATAAGGGCTGGTTCCGGGGGTAGCAACCGCGGCGCGAGAACCGCCAGATGCTTGGGCCAGCCAGGGGGCCCGCGGGAGGAGCCCGAGCGAGCGCCCAGATGTCCTGACACGCGCGCGCGCGCGCGCCACAAGTGGTTTGGGGGCAGTAGGAGGATTGCAGCGCTGGGGCCGCTCGGGTCGCTCCTGTCAGGCAGGCAAAGAAGGCCGCGCTCATGGAAGTTCCTCCTCCCCGGTCTCTCATCCTCCCCACCCCATTCCCTTCTCTTCTTCAACTGCAGGAATGACGCCCCAACTCCCATCTCCGCGCACCTGCAGTCCGTAGTCCGGTGGGTGGGTGGGAGGGAGATCGCAGGGGCACCAAAGCCAGGACAGAGTCACCACGCTGGGCAGGCGTGCGGGGTAGAGGACACGTGCCGGGCTGGGAGGAGGGAGAGCGCTCCCATCTGGGGGGGGGGGCAGGCGCGGGGGCGGCCGGCCCGGAGCGGCGAGGGCGGAGGACCCGGGGTAGGGGGTCAGCACAGGTGGCGCGCACACAGGCAGGTGCGCAGGCGGCCGGTCGGAGGCGCCGCGAAGCGAGGGCGTGGGGTGAGGACCTGGGATCCGGGGGTCAGCCCCGGGGGCGCGGGCCCGGCCGAGCGTCGGAGTGCCGTCCGGGCAGGGAACCGACAGGGCGGACGTCA